ATTCTGAAATACAGAGGACAAAGTGGAAGATAAAATTCATGCACAATGTCTGGTGTTCTTCTGATTAATGAAACAGACCCTTCTATTTTGTTAAGGTTAAGTAAGCGAGCCGAGCCAAGAAGCTTAGTTTTGCATTTTAATTTTGGGGACTCTCAACAATAATAAGGCTGCTGAACATAAAAACGTAAGCCAAGAACTGTTTTCTCTAGAATTCTACTATGTTTTTCCCCAGCTATTACACTGAAGAAATTGTGGTTTAGCTAGTAAGAGATAGGTTCATAAATTTAAAGTATTTATGGGTCATTCTCAATTATTATTCTGAGATACTGAACATCCTCCAGCATAAATGGAAAAGTCAGCTCACAAGTGGTTTATTTAAAATGAGAAAAACTGAATAACCAAAAAGTCATTTGAATATATATATTATATAAATAAGCTTCTGGGCACATTTTAATTTAAAAGAAATCAATGTTTGGCTAAAATAATTTTAATTACTCAAATTGCCTGTTGTAATTAGGAGCTTCATTCTTTTTCTAACTAAGGGTGATCATTTGCTCAAATTGTCCTCCTCTCGGTGGGTAATGGGCAAAAACTGACCTTGTGAAAAGAACTCACTTCCATAAAAAGGAATATCTCTCTATATTTCAGTTCGTGATTAAAAAAGACAAACAAATAAATGGGGGAAGGGCAGAGGGGTGGTGTGGAGGTTGAACCAGCTTTCTAAATGCCCAGGGCACCAGAGAAAAAGCTTACTCCATGCATACCTAATGAAAGGGCAAGAGCAGAGAACCAGCCAGGATACAGCTTGTCTGTCTGAATGAAGACCTAGTTTGCTGCCCAGCTCTGCCCAGATCTGTGTCACGAGCACCTGCAGGAGGCAGACCTGCAGGAGTTTCCTGCTTTCTTCTCTTCATCACCACTCCCTCACTTCCTTTCCCTCACCTCCGCCCGCCCATTAAACCCAAGAGTATGAAAACTGCAGAGTAGAGATCTGTCTAGGGTAAATATTTAACCCTTATCTCACTCATATTTGCCATCACACTCAAAAGGTATTCCCATACGTAATGGTAATTTTACTTCCTGGTAAGTCATGTATATGGTGTTTTTAAGAAGAGGAGGAGTATGCTGGGAATGGTAGACACCAGCGGGTCTGTGGAGCTGAATTGGTTGGCAAGGGCCTGCCCAGAGCTTTGAGACCAAGCCGAAGGCTTCTGCTTCATAACACTTAAGTCAGGAAGAAACCCAGATGAACCCACCTCTAAGAGGGAATGAGGAAACCGGAGGATGGGGTCCTAACAGGAAAAGGGGGCCCCAGTGAGGAGGTAGTGACCACACCACTTACTGCCCAAGAGCAAAGAGAAAGCAAGTGCCATCTGCTGACTTGGAATGCCAGGGGCCGTGGATCTGCCCAGGACTGGGTGGAGGTTCGTGTGAAATGAGAAGCATGTGCCACTGAGGATCTGGGTGCTCATATGCCCTTTCAGTTCAGTTCAGTTGCTCAGTCATGTCCAACTCTTTGCAACCATTTGGACTGCACCACGCCAGGCCTCCCTGTCCATCACCAACTCCCGGAGCTTGCTCAGACTCATGTCTATGGAGTTGGTGATGCCATCCAACCATATGCCCTTTGCATGGGCACAGAAACTATGTACACAGGCCAGTCTAAAGATTCCACACAGGATATTTCAGAGTTCTAAAACAGTGTGGGTATAAACTTGTTTGGAAACCTTTGATTGCCTTAGAAGTATCACAACATTCAAAGTTGAGGAAAGCCTGAGATAAACATTAGTTTTCATGGGTTTCATCATAAGGCTTTCTCTGCCCGCCCCCCCCGCCCCCCCCCACTTTACAGAGAACCTATTGAACAGAGATGAAAAAATTCTCTTTGAAGTTTGGTTAACTCACTGAGGATTTGAATAAATTTTCATAACTCTAGGTTAAGGAGAATATGCAACAAGCTAGAACATTCATATAAAACATGGATAGCCATATGCAGAAGGGGCTAGAAACTGCTGCAGAAGATTCTGAGTCTGTTGTAAAGAAGAGGTTTCTACAACAGAAGTTGCGAAACTGTATATTGAGATGATGATTATTAAGCCCATCCTACAAAGTATTTTTAAAAATATTTAGTTAATTAATTAATTTAACTGTGTCAGGTCTTAGTTGGGGCACACAGAATCTCAGGTCAAGCATGTTGGATCTAGTTCCCTGACTGGGGATCGAACCAGGCTCCCTGCATTGGGAGCACAGAGTCTCGGCCACTGGACCACCAGGAAAGTCCTCCCACAAAGTCTTTAAACAGGGTATAAATAGTACATTCAGACAGAGAATAAATAGTACAGTCGACATGACTGAGCAACTAAACTGACCGAAATAGTACATTCAAGCCTAGAATTAGAATCTCTTAATTAAAAATCCCATGTGCTTTCAATATGTCGGGAATTGTATACTTCGCATGAGCTTTCTGTTTTAAACATCACAAGAATTATTTCAAATGGTCTTTAGTAGTAGTAGTATGCTCAGTCATGTCCAACTCTTTGCCACCCCATGGACTGTAGCATGCCACACTCCTCTGTCCATGGGATTCTTCAAGCAAGCATATTGGAGTGGAGTGCCATTTCCTCCTCCAGGGGATCTTCCCGAACCAGGGATCAAACCCACATCTCTTAACATCTCCTGCATTCGCAGGCAGATTCTTTACCATTAGCACCACCTGCGAAGCCCATTATTATTACGATCATCAACACCACCATCTAACAAATACACTGGAACTTAGAATGTTGAAATAAATAACCTAGAATTATTGACCTCATGATTACAAGAGTAAAGATTTGAGCTCAAGTTAACTTGATGTTAAGAATTTTGCTTTTTTATTTCCCTATTGTGATTTCCAAAGATGGATTTTTATGAATGCCTGATGACTCTCAGCTCAGGACATTCCCTGTGGTAATGATTACCACAGGCTCTCAGCCGTGAAAGGCTAGGACTTTGATCATAGCTGATGTCAGAGTTTTCCCACTGGAGCCTGGGAGAATTCAGGGACCCAGATGAATATGAGTCTGCAGAACTAGTTGTCATGTGTCTGTCTATAAGGTACTGACTTCATTCCCTTTCTCCCACATTTATTCCCTACATCTACCGTGAATAGGTATGTAGGTTTGAGTTCCTACCTGTCTTAGGTGAGGTTCTCTGGGAAACCTATCTGAAATGGAGATTTGCCCTCAGGGAGTTTATGGGACAAATACCCTGGGGGAGAATTGAAGGAAGTAGGATTGGGTGGATGAGAGAGTTCAACTGTGATGCAGTTCTAACAATGGCTTGCAAACCCTTCATTTGCCAACACTCCCAGAAGTTGGTAGAATAAATGCTACTGTTCGTGGGTAAGCAGCACTCAACTGCCACATACGCATGCCTTCAATGCATCAGCTGACCACCAGCTTGACTCAGCAGAGATGGCTAATTCAGCAATCAGTAGACTCCCCCTGGAAGGTCAGCCTACCAGTAGTGGCAGGAGCAGCCCTAACTCACCCAGACTCACTAGCTCCAAGAAGCAGAGCTGCACATGAAGTGCTGTTATTTATTAAAGAGCCAGAAGTAGACACAGAGAAAATCACCAGCAAGGATTTAATGGTATAGGTTGGTGGACCTGATGAAGGTTATGGTCTCTACTCAAATTAGAGATGCACTGTGGAAGTGGAACACTGTGCCCAGCCCTCCCTTTGGCCCTGAACTTCTGACAGGGGCTCCATAGAACATCTGAGATGGGGAGAAAAGGAGGGAAATGATTTGATATCACACCCAGAGTGAGTCAATACAGTACATCCAGACACAACCTGCTGTGCTAGCTCATCATGGATTATGAAGCTAATTTCGGGGTTAAATACATTCTTACATGTCACACTGAATTTATTCTGTTAAAGAGTGTTGCTGGAACACTTTCACTCAATGTTTTCCAAAGATCAAATGTTAAATCCAATTACACCCTAAGGTTCTCTGTCTACAAGTAAAGAGCATGGCCTAGAGAACTTTCAATCAATCAATAAAAAATTTATTGCACACCTACTATGTACCACGTTGGGTTTCCCAGGTGGTGCTAGAGGTAAAGAACCCACCTACCAAAGCAGGAGATGTAAGGGTTCCATCCCTTGGTCAGGAAGATCCTAGAGGGCATGGCAACCCACTCCAGCATTCTTGCCTGGAGAATCCCATGGACAGAGGAGCCTGGTGGGCTTCAGTCCATAGAGTCACAAAGAGTCAGACATGACTAACGTGACTTAGTATACACGCATGTACCAAGCATTAGTCCAGTCCCCAGAAACAAAAAATTTTGCTGAAATAGTGCTCTCTGATATAAAAAAAAAAATCATGTGTACGGAAGACATATAAACAGCTAGTTAAATAGTGATTTGATAGTGTTACATACAATAGTGTTACATACAAATTGCTATGAGAGCCCAAAAGAAGAAGTAATCAGACAGACATGACAATAACACCCTTGGAAATAACGGCAGGTGTGGAACTGATTGTCGGAAGCATGGTTTGCACTCCGAGGGCCCCTGTAGTCTAACAGCCCTTAAGCTAACACCATTGCTGTTTTTAATGTCATCCTTGCAGAGGTGGCAGGAGTAATGGTAACAGAAAAAGCAGAGAGAGAGAAATACTTCAAGCAAGCTAGGTTTTCTGAAAGTTTTCTCTACAAAATCTAAACAGAACTTGACATTTGCCTTCAAAGAATGCAGTTATAAAAAGAACGTAAGCACAGTTAAACCACTCAATCCTCTACACATTTTTTTTTCTTTTGTAGTAATCTCAGCCTTTCTGATTTACACATACCTTATCATCAAAGAAAACTGACCTTGATTTCAAAACCACAATTTAATGACTCACCCAGACCTACCCCCACTCCACACCCCACCCCAAAAAAGGGCTTCCTTTAAAAAAAAGAACTATTTCTTGCTTTAAGGTTTCATGCATGCACCAACAGCTTAATTTTTGTTTAGAGTTTTCTAGATGGCAGTTAGGAAACAGGAAAGGACTCACCTCTCTGAAAAGCAACGTAACGTCTGGCTAGGTGTTTATTCCGCTGCCTGGGAAAATGATTTCAGATGGTTCGTCGTGGATCGCCCAGACTTCCTCAGCTCCCTCCAGCTCTGGCGAAAATTCCTTTCCTGGGGCGGTAAGTTGAGAGGAGAGCTGTGTAACATTAGACCAGGAGCACCTGTCCTCCAGAGCTTTCAGTGGATTCTTCATCACGAGCAGCCTAGAAGCAAGAGTTTAGAGTCACACTTTTTTCCATGCAAGATGTGGTCAAATTTGGAAATTTTTAAATGAGAAAAAAAAAAAGTATGTAAATATTTTAATCTTAGATAAAAGTTGACAGGGAGGGGAAAGGAATCAGGAGAGATGGAGAAACATTTCTACTAGTTTAGGACTTTGAGTGAGGCTTGGAGAGTCATGCACTCTAAATAGCTGGGGACAACCTTCGGATAGAGTTCTCAATGCACTGTTAATGTTGAAAAGAATTCAATAAGTGATATTTTTATACAAAAACCTTTGTTTGCATTCTATACTCTTCTATTATTTGATTCTTATGAGACAAACTTTTCAAAAGAATGAACATTTGCCAAAAGAATGATAAATAAAAATACACGAAAATGTTGTCACGGGGAACACCCACTCTGTGAAATCTCATCTAGCCGGGGGTACATCCCCCTATGATACATATGCCTTGTGTTTCCAGCAAACACTGGTCTCCTTTTGGCCTCCTGAGATTGGGACGACCTTGGCTACAGGGCAAAGGCGGAAAGGAGATCAAGGCATGCACAGAAACAATAATGGGGGAGACAAACTTGAATTCCACAGCAGTTTGGCAGGGCCAGCAGAATGGCCCAGCGCACTGTCTGCCTCGGCACGCAGTTGAGCTGTCTGTTCCGACAGAAACCTCCCCATGGCAGCCTCTGAAGCAGACACACACTGCTGTCGCTCAGCCACACCCCAAAGCAAGCACTCTTCCAAGCGAGCTGATAAACGTATGAGAAAATTACTGTTGGCAAATGAGTTTATTAGAGTCCTTTGAGAATCATAATAATGCTAATATGAATACTTCCATTTGCTGGGATTCGAGGACACGTCAAGCATTGGAATGGGCACTTGAAAAACATTACCTCTAATTACAATTCTGTAAAATAAGTTACCCATTCCTTAGAAAATTAAATGCCTCAAGGTTAAACAACTAAACTGTTCATGTAATTACCAAGTTGCAGAGGTTACATCTGCACCTAATATTTCTGATTCCCTCAGATTTTCACAACATCGCTGTGGACTCCGTAAATAATAATGGTGTCAGGTGCCATTCGTTGAGCACGTACCTGGTGTTCCACTATGAACTGTATGTATTTCATTGTATTTAATCCCCAACATAGTCTTTGATATCAAGGAATGTTATTTGCATTTATAGAAATCTCTTATAAAGGTAAAATGTTTGTCTAAGTAAGGTTTGGGGATAGTTACATAGCCTTTGATATCAAGGAATGTTATTTCCATTTATAGAAATCTCTTATAAAGGTAAAATATCTAAGTAAGGTTTGGGGATAGTGATTATCTGTAGTACTGCAGGCATAATGGATCTTTGTTTCCTCCTTTTGTTCAGGAAATAGACTGAATGCCATGTCGTCCACATGTAGATAATTCTATAAGGCTCTCTCAAAATATCAGCTAACATGGTGCTCCCTCGTACATCTTTTACTCACAAAGAATGACTGCATGAAACTCGTGACAACGATGGAGAGAACAGGCTTCGGAATCATCCCAAACTGGTTTAGAATCCAGGCTGGGTCATTTTTGAGTTCCATGATGATCCTGTAGCCACTATTTAATCTCTCCAAGTTTCCATTTTCTTAATTGTAAATTACAGACAATAATACCCAACTCATAAGTATTCATATTGGATAAATCAAGTCAGGCAATGTCCACAAAACCTCTAGCACAATGTTTGGCATCTGCTAAGTGCAAAATAATTGCTAGCTGTAGTGATTTTAAATCAACAATATCACATTTTATTGACTGCATCAGTTAGAATTCCATAGAGCTGCTTTAAGAGGGAAACAATTAGCGGTGCCTAACAAAAACAGATAAAACTTCTGTCACATGTAAAAAAGCACAGATCAGAGACCAGGACATGTTTGGTGACTCCACGGTATCATTAAGAAGACCCAGGATGTTATCTTTGTTCCATTAGCTAGACAATTGCTTTCGTTCTCAGGATTACCTAATGGTCTAAGGTGATTGCTGAAGTTTAAGCCAGCTCATCTGGGTCTTGTGTGCAAAGGAGAAGACCAAAAAAAGAAACCCCTTGAAGCCAGGTCGACTCCCTTAAATCTACCTTCCCACGGTCCCACGCAACTCATCTGCTTCCGCTTCACTTACTGTTATAGTCCTTAGTTACATAGCCACACTGCACTACAGGGAAACGAAGATATATAGCTTTTATTCTAAGAAAAATTATGCCAGCTAAAAATGATTAGGATTTGTTTCTGAGGTGGAAGAGGAAGACAGATGGTGGGAAAGGTAACTGATGGTCTCTGCCACACTGGACAAGAATGATATTACCATGGTTGGAGCAGGTCAGGGCTGATGGAATATTATCAATATCTTAGATCCATCTTTTTATCTAAAAGATGGTAAATGCTCATCCAGGGAGATAATAGGGTGTATGAAGGATTGCCTGATGAGTCAGAGGCAATGCCCAAACAGAACCCAGATCTCCTCACTGCTGGTTCAATACACTTTCTATCAACTTTGCTATCTTTCTAATAAATGACTTTTTTGTTCTTAAAAAAATCTTTTAGAGGGATATGACTTAGATCTTTATTTTAAGGCTTCTAGTTCTTGTTTCATCCTTCACATTGGTGAACAGTGGTCAATATTCAATTTGCCATTATAAATTCTATTTATAATCACTAACAGCCATTTTACCAAGGCAATAAATACAATTCTGTTATTTGCTCTACAGATATTATTGTCTAAGCCTTTAATTATTCTGTTATTCTCCTCTGAGCTCATTTTATTATTCTTACAGTCTAACATTTATCCTATGAAGATGCATTTTGCCCTTCCTGAGGTTATAGCTAGGGAAATTATATTATAGAGTGTAATTTTCAAGCTTGTGTTTTTATGAAAGGAAATTTGGTTTGCAAGTTTCTATCTCATTTAAACTAAAATGTGAAATACTAATGTGCTGTTTGATATCTATGCAATCCTGAGGGCCTTTTAAATAGGCTTCGGAAAAAAACTTATTTTTAGAAGAGGAAGATATGTAATGCTAAAATCACCCTAGTAAATGGACACAAGCAATGAAAGATTAGAATTAAGTGCAGGCCAGTAAATTTTAAATGAATCCTAAATTAGAGTGATTTCTCTAGTTCCTAATTAGAGAGGTTTTAATCACAGACCAAGAATAAAACCATAAAAGAACACGCGGCATAAGGAAAGAAAGCATAATTATTTAGTTGGAAAAAAGACGTGTTAGAAAAATATCTGTGCCATCATCTTAACTTGTCATATCTTCCAGGCATGCTTTCAAAGGAAAACAAGAATTTCTTTCTGCTCTCTAGAAACTTGGATTTACCTCAATCACAGATTCTTTTGCAAATGAATTAATAGGGGATTCCAAATTTTAACAAGATGTCTTCTCATGGAAGGATGTTAATCCTAAATTCGCAAATCAAAGAAAAAAGACAAAAAGCTATATAGAGAACCCAAGAAAAAAATCTCTTTTAAAAAATAATATATATAAGCATGGATATTTTAAAAGTTATAGAAGGAAATACACCCAGAGATTAATAGCAAATATCCTGAGTGGCAGAATAGTGAAGCATTTTCCCCTTTTCAGTCTATGCTTTTTTTTTTTAATTTTTTTTTTTTCATTTTATAAAGAGAAAAATTTTGTTTATATTTTAATTATAAATGACACAGTTATCTGATGACAAACCACTGAATTTGAAAGATAATAGGTGAACTCTCAAATGCACATTTTAATGAAAGAACAAAACACATCTGTTAGGTAGTTAGGATAGGAAAAAGAAAAATATTCAGATCCTACAGGATCTCAAAGAGTGAGCTGGAGAGTTCGCAGGGTGGCTACAATCTCTTTGGGGGATCCTTCTCCTGGCGAAGGGGAATTTGGTTGGCTAATGCCCCTACTAGTCCCTGTTATCACCATATTGATGCTGCTTATGATTGCTCCATGTATTATCAACTGTCTAACCCATTTTGTCTCTGCCCAGGTCAACAAGCTACAACATGCAGTGCCAGTTCAACAAGGATATATAAAACTATACCTGACCACAGAAAATGCCACTCACCCTTAAATGGACACTGCTATAAGGAATCAGAGGCTTGAGACAAGCAAGAAGGGGAGGACCAATGCCTCTCGCTGTCCCAGCTCAGCAGGAAGTAGCCAGAGAGACCTCAACGACCCTGCTCCCAAAGAATTGGGCCTCCCATCTCTTAAGGGGTGAATGTTAGGTAGTTAGAATAGGAAAAAGGAGTCCAAAATGGCGGTAGCTAAAAGACAAGGAAAGGGAAAGCCCGTGAAAACAGAACAAAAGAAAACTCACAGACCAGAGTGAGAACTTCAGGTAAAAGAAACACACCCCCTTCTGGGCTACCCCAATTTGCACAGGGCAGGCTCAGCGGGGAGGAGACAAATGAACAAAAGGAGGAAGCCAAGATGGATTGAGGCCCCTCCATTGGGGTTGCCCGCCCTCACGCCTCCAGGGTGTACTTACCTTTGCTTGCCAAATAAAACTCTGAGCTGTAACCGAACTGTAACACTGGCCCATCATTTCAAATCTTCGCTGTGGTGAGGCGGAACTGAGGAAATTACGCACTCCCCAACATCTCCAACGACAAGTGGATATTGTGTGGACAGAATAGCCACTGTATTGGGGGAAGTTATGGCTATGTTTATCTAACAAAACACTTGGTCCTTCGAAGGTGCCAGAATTTGTCTACTCGTATTTTTATAAAATTTGAAGAAAAAAAAAAATCTTTATTGTCCAGGTGTCCCCA